CACATCAACACGTTTTCAATTTATTTTTGCCACGTCATCAAAAAAATTATAAAAAATGCCACATAAGCGAGTTAGCGATCGAAATTAATAGAAGGACTAACGGAGTGCATTTCGTATAGTTGAGGGATAAAAAAAGTGCAAAAAATTATTGAGGGACCAAAAATGTTCATTTCATAAAGTTGAGAGACCAAATTAAGCATTTAACCTTTCATTTTATATTTTTGTTGCATTTCAGTTGCTTATTTGCACGGCTGATAGGAAACAACCGGGGAATTTTTCTTGTGTTCTGTAAATATGGTTTGCCTATTTCTTGATTCAATTTTGAATGGATAAATGCCTCAATTGGCCTGGAGCAAATTTATCTATCTAGCATTGTAATGCTGGCTATAACCTTAGCACCGTAAGATATATTAAGTCCATGGACCAGAGAATGAGTAATTGAGGTGAGAGGTTTACAACATGCATCATGGAAGCTGTTTGAGTTTTCTAAATTAGTGTTATTCTCCATTAGTAGTTTAGATCAAATTATTTCTTGAAAAAAACAAAACGTCTTGTCTGCGGTAGCTAGAAACAATCTACAAGTGATTAAATTAGGACAGAATAATTTGCAAGAAAAGGTACCAAGATCATTGGCAAATTGTAGAATGTTGGAGTTTCTCGATCTTGGTAACAATCATATCAGAGATACCTTCCCTTATTGGTTGGGAACTCTTCCTAGCTTGAAGATTCTCATTTTGCATTTCAACAAGTTCTATGGTGCAATTAATGTTCCAGAATTCCTTATTTCCTGATCTACGGATTGTTGACCTTTCTCATAATGGATTTGTTGGTCCTCTACCAACAAAATACTTCAACTTGTGGAGTGCCATGGTAGATGTTGATAAGGAGAACACAAAATATTGGCATGCATATGACAATTATATGTTGAATGGCTTAATTGGTGCCAGTCCATACCCCTACTCAATGACAATAACAAACAAAGGAGTGAAAATGGAATATGCAAAGGTATCAAAGATTTTCTCTGCCATTGATCTTTCTTGCAACAAATTTGATGGAGAGATTCCAGATGTAGTAGGGAGCTTAAAGGGACTTCAACTGCTCAACCTTTCCGATAACATCCTTGTTGGTCCAAACCCACCAGCCTTGGGAAATCTCAAAAATGTTGAAGCTCTAGACCTTTCTCAAAACAAGCTTGTAGAAAGCATTCCGATGCAGCTGACGCCGTTCAATTTCCTCAAAGTTTTCAATGTATCTTACAACTATTTGACAGGACTTAGCCCGAATGTTCAATAATATGATACATTTGATAATAGCTCATTTGATGGGAATTTAGGGTTGTGTGGATTGCCACTGTCAAGGAAATGTGACAATTCAAAGGCCTCGCCTCCACCATCTTCCAACTCTAAAGGAAATGAAGATTCTGGATTACTAGCTGAATGAATTTGGCTGGAAAGCAGTGGCATTGGGTTGTGGATGTGGATTCCTTGTTGGTGTGGTGATTGGAAACATTGTTTTTGCAAGAACATGTGAGTGGCTGATGAGGACTTTCCGAATTAGGATGTCAAGGAGGAGAATGGTGAGGAGGATCCGTTGAAGACGAATGTTTATCTGTTGGTGGTAGCCTTTGGCTATGTATTCTTTTGCCTACATTTCTTTGTTTTTTTCTTGTTTTTATTTTGTGTGCGCGAACTGTTGTACTTTAAAGCTGCATCAATAAATTGCACTTCAACTTCATTAGCTGCCTGATGTGAATTTTACTAATTTTAAATTTTAAATTTCCAAAGAGAGAGAGAAAAAAGGCAAAGAAATGACAACGTATTTATTGTAAATCAGTTCAATTCAGTAAATACTAATGAAAAAGGAAACATAAATTACGTGAAGTAAGCCACAAAATATCTTAGTAGAACTCCTTTTGATCATTTGATGTCTGGTGATTGTGAGTGGTTTTTATCTTTCTGAGGACTTAAGTTACTTTATTTAGCTCTCGATGTTATGAACGACACTACCACATCGGAATTCTCTAGTAAAGAAAGAAAAGTATGGAAAGGATGAAAAGATGGATCTTTGGTGGTGACTAAGCCGTTTGCAGGACATACCTACCGACTCTGATGTTGGGTTTGAACTAGGAATTGGGCCTCTGGGTAGCCATTGATTACAAGCATTGAGCCGCTAACTAATCATTCATCAATCTTGACTGGTCTAAGTCCATCAAATCGTCATGCACTGCATGTATAATAAAATTGACAAAACTTGGATTTTTTATGGGCCGTGATTTTTACTTATATATATATATATATATATAAATTTAAAGATAAGGGGTTAATGCTTGTCCGTTTTACCTCTTAAAAATTAGGAGGAAAAATGATAAATATCACCTTAATGCATGCTTTAAAAATAGGGTAGTTTAGTCTTTTTCAATAAAAAGTTATTGAAACGATATAGTTTTAGGATGAATTTCCTCCTAATTTTTAGGATGTAAGACTGACAGGCACTTTTTCCTAAAGATAATATATATATATATATTTATTTATGTTTAAAGTTTAGGTCACAAGTTAAAATATTATTTTTATCATAAA